TGTTTTCTATAATCGATAGTCGAAACCATCGATCGGATGGTTCTTCTCCTAATTGTTGCTAAGTAAAAGTTATAATTTTCTATGTTTTTAAGTTAAGTTATTAACAAATGAGTTTTACAAGCAGGTGATTCCTAGGAGATTTATTATCGTGTGACTTCTGGAATTTGTTGCTAGCGAAAATTACCTTGAGGTCGTAGATAATTTCGTCTATCTAGGAAACAGTATTAACGCCAATAATCCAATGTAGAATCGCTTTTGCTGACAGGTGCGATGTTGGGCCAAAAAAAAGAAATTGAAAAATACCGTGATTTCTCGACGAACCAAAACCAAACTTTACAAGTCCCTCATTATGAAAGTACTGTGAAATATTTATAGCTATTTGCGCATCGCCAACGGTAATTACAGCAAATGATGGAACGATGAGCTGTACGAGTAATACAATGATATTGATATAGTACAGCGAATGAAGAGACTGCGTCTACGCTGGCTAGAATATGTTGCCTGAATGAGTAAAAGCGCCCTAGCTTTGAAAGGATCAGGTGGAGAGCAACAGCAAAGAGAGAGCATGATTGGGTGCTATTGTTGATTCGGCTATAATAGCGTAAGCGGTGCCTAAGCCAATGAAGAATGTACGGTTAATGACAAATTATAGGAAGGTGAGTCTAAAGTTTGGAGAATTTCGACCAAAAATAGAAATTTGTTTACAACTTTAGGCTTTAAAGTGCATCTTCTGTCTGAAAGTTTGGCCTCGTTTCTCCATCTATACATTGGCTAGCACTTTAGACCTACTCCAGATTACTTATCAATCTAGATAGCGTATTAAATATAGACTTCTCTGAGAAAGGTTTGGTCGATAGAAAGTCTTATGCGTCGATTTCATGAACTATTTTATTTTCTTCCATCCAAGCATACAAATTTCTGTGTGGCTGGAGCTAAAAAAACTGTGGACGTCCACTCGCAAAGATAACGATCCAGCGTTTCGTCATCTTCGGTACATGCTCTGCACTCTGTTGTTTTAACCTTTTTTCGTTTTTGAAGATAATATTTCCATGGTGATGGCGTAGCGACGCGTGATTAGCAATGTTTATTACCAAGCGGAAGATCATGTTTACGAATCCTAATCAAACTAACATTTAATATGATAGAAAATGAATTTTTCTAAATTGTGGTCGACCTCGGCAGAGAACATCAAGTTCACCGAGTGTACTTCTGGATTGAAATAAAAGATTCTCTTAAAAATCCAATTGTATAGTCTTTGAGTTTGAAGCTGCGGCCATCACAAAAGTACCCAGTTCCTGTGCTCTCCTCATATTTAGGTCCATTGGCACAGATAGCCCAGCCTTTTACTCACTCTTTCCTGTGCGGGGAACAGCAAGTAGATTGCACCTGGCGGAGGGTGTTCCCATCCCAATGTATGTATTGCCAGATTTACAACTTTTTTGCTTTTTAACTGGTTTGATGACATCCAAGGTCTTTTATACCCGGTCAATAGATTGTAGTTAGTACAAGGCATCTGCTTTTTAACGGTACTTACTTAAAGGTATCAATAACGCACTTTCTACTAAGAGGTTAAATACCTAGACATAAACTTAGATAGCAAACACACCTGGATCGGAGGACGGTAGAAGGGAGTACGAATGTTATGACGTATTCTACGCCTGCAAGGCAGCGACCAGTAAAAGTTGAGAAATAAGACCACATATTTATTGTATACTGGCATACTAAGTCTCCATTCTCTGTAGTCCTACGAAAGCGCATGAAGTTTTTCAAGCGGAATTAACCGCAATAACAGAAGCCGCTCCACTCTTATACGATAACCCAACCCATTACACTACACTTGAACAGCCAGCTGTTCTGCTGCTATTAAGTCTCTCTAATGTGGCATTCAGAGGAATCTACACTCAACTCTCGAATGTAGACAAAACGTGCATGGCTTGGGTTCCTGATCATACAGACACCTCAAGGTAAAGGGCTGACCAGAAAGGTAACAGTTATAACCACATTAAACCCTGCACAAGACTTTGACAAGTATTTGCTAAGACTAGCCTTCCCCATCGCAAAGTGAAACGACGCACAATGTGGCCAGAGAAAATCTGGTCTGAACTAAATCTTTACTTTTTTTAAACAGAACCTCCGTAGGGATAACAACCGGACTCTCAACATACATTTGCCGTAGCTGCAGAGTCTCGTGATCGAGAGACCACTTTAACTAACGAACTTGTTCACTAAACTATGCATATTAAGAATACCGTCAGTCATCATCACTACATGTACATGCAACGGAGCCGCCTCAAGACTAATTTGCCTTGGTACATAAAAACGAGCTATGAACGACAACCACTTAGTGATCAACCCTTTATATGATGCTGCAGCTGTGCCGAAAGATCCTCGTAATTCTGAAGTACATGCAGAAAATACAAATGTATATATGGATGCCCTGCAAGGAAAAGCTCCCGCATAATGTTTAGCTTGCCTGTCGTGAAACATGCTCGTACCTCTGATTTAGGTTCAATCCCACTGAAACAGATCTTTCTTTTTTTGTGCTTTCGTTCAGCGAACTAGCGGATTTCTCCTGATTTGTCTGCTCATAAGAAGGTTTAGTTAATCGTTCCAACAACAACAATAATGCATCACAGACAAAAGCAGAAGATCGATACATCGCAATAACAGCCAGAAGAGTCTAGCATTTATACAACTGAAAAATGTGTACTTAACATATTTTTGTGCGTGTACTTATGTGCACGGACTTATGTACAATTCTATATTCCGTACATATGTATTTACATATATGTATATACATACATATGTGCATTTCTTTTGTCCATTCCGCACCAACAGAGATCTTTCTTCTTGAACATTTTGAGGTCGTTATCAGCGCTTAAGTGTGGTCGAGCCTCCCATTTTTTGTACCAATAAATATAACACATACATATGTACATTTGTATGTTTGTATGTATATAAAAATGTTTTTGTATATGCACAAGCGTGACATTGTACATTGCACTCGTGTTATACATAGTATATAATATGGAAAAACAAGACTTTTTTTTTATTGAAATTATTCATATATATATTGTAGATATATATATATATATATGTATGTACGTATGTATACGTTTATGCAATGAAGAGAAATTTCCTTTGGATTAAACAAAATTTTGTAAGTTTCCCAAAGCTTCCTCAAATACTTGGTCCCACGTTTAATATATAATATTTTTCCCTTTCGATTTTTTCCCGCGAAACCCGGAACACGAGACGACATTCAATGACCTGAAGATCTTGGGTTTAAAGTCCCACTAAATTAGCATCTGAAATGTTGACATAATTATGGTCGCCACTGGGAACATTCTCATAGCATATGAAATATGGACGCATTAACTTGTACAGAACCCTTGCCAACACAAGTCAGAGGAGAAGGTCCATCGAAAATCCATCAGTGGTTAGCGCGGTATGAATGTTAGCAATTGGTTTCCCTGATTGGTATGCTGATTTAGGTCTCGCCTTCCTTCAAATCTCTTTCCTTCCAACTTATTGTTTATCCGACTTTGAAATAGAGTAAACGTCATCGTCAGTCCTTGGCCGGATAAAAATCTGGATCGTTCCGGTATAAAGACCCGACTGTCGCGGGAACTATTGGATTTTAGTCGCCTCTTATATCAGGCATACCTTTCCGCGGGTAAATTCTTGAGCCCCTGACCCGCAGGAGGGGGCCTTACTGGCCTCTCTGAGTCCTAGGCTTTTAGCTGACAGTTACTTCAATTTTAATGGAGCTGGTCTGGAAGAATCTAAGCTCGTCAGATATCACAAATACTTGCCGAATAAACAGCTTAATTCGGCAATCTGGGAAGCTGACTTTCACATTAGGCCGTTCGCTCATAATTATCTTGGTCGATTGTCCTCCACCTTCCGTGGCTCTCCCTACACATATCAACTTTAACAAAGCTAATTGATAAGGATTCACAGAATTTACTAAGAACGCCTTAGGTACACTCTAGGGACTTTAACATTCTCAACGGATCGAAGTGCAAAAAATTTCCATATTTTCCTACTAAAGCGCCGAATATAGCATAAAAAAGCGACAGTCAGCGCCGAGCCGAAACGAAGAGCTCGTAGTTAGTTAACCAAATGGAACGGCAAGTCACCCCAGTGACTGCAGTCTATACAAACTGCCGAATACTAGCGTGGTGCTTGAGTTCTTCTGAGAAGAGAGAAGCAAGAATCCTACAAATACGTTGATGTCGGGGATGCCAGAACATTTGGCTCCAGTGGAAATACCTGATATGTTAAAATAAGGCCCGCGTTACAAAAAGCCTGGAAACCGGCCAAAAAAGGAGAATCGGATTGGCAGATATTCTTCGTTTCTCCGGTAAGAAAGGTGCTGTAGGTCTTGCTGCCGCCTCAATTCACTCACCCCCTGAGCCGAACATCACAACAGTATGTCTAACAGAAAATGAAATAAGGGTTTTGGCAGGGTTGTGTCTTCTCCTTCTCTCTCTCTTTCCGTGGATAGTATGCTCGTAATCTACTAAGAACTACTCGAGCTGCCACACCAGACCTGAGTAATACAATATAGGCGCACTTGAGGTCAGTGTAGTATACTCTACCTACCTGTCTATTCATGCTAGAATCAGTATACTTAACGCATGTTCTTCATGCAATGAAACCCCGCAAACGTGCCCACTAAGACTCACTAATCTAACACCCTCCATCGCTGAGCAGAACTCAGCGGCTTTAGATGACCATAACGTAACAAAATAATTTTGCTTACTTTTTTAACGAACTTAAAAATAACTTCAATGTTTATTAAGTATTATTTTATTAAAGTGATCAAACAACACTTATGTACTTATGTATTTTCCCGACATCAGCATTGAAAAAAAGTAATCGGTTCACAGCCAATGCTATTGTACCGCACAAATTGTTCCCGCTGATTGAAATCGTTTTGTGGGAACAGTTAGCTGTCAAATGAATGTGTCAACATATGTTCTACGTTCTCTGTCTTTTCAATCTGTCAAAAACGCAACATTCACAGCCAATAAAGAAGCAGTCACCTGGAAAATTCAGTCATTCATTATAATTCTGTTTTGAAAAATTTATTTATTAAACCTTTTTTATAATTCCATTATCATTCGGAATGAGTATTTGTAGCCTTAGGGGCTTGAATGTGCGTTTCTGCCGGCAGGCCTACATATTGGCCCATGTGCGGACAGGAGTTGTTCCAATGCCGGGCCGCACTAAATTGAGGTTAAGTTTGTGTGAGTGCAATAATCAGCAGACAAATAACAGACGAGGATATGCAATAAACACAGCAGGCGTAACAACACAAATAGAATTAACAAAATTAAAGCCGTCTATTCTTGCAGCCATAACACCATTACGCAGTAGTCACAACAACTTATATCAAATGGTAAAAAAGCGTACATTAGAAGCACGCACTAAATTGCAGCGTAACAAATTTCCTAATAATCAAGCATGTGAAGAAGAAACCAAAAATCGTTCATCACCATGTAATGATCAAAGTGGTAGCACATTATGCTCATCCCCATCATCAGGGCCATCTGCACCACGACCAAAAACTAGTACTATGTTTTCTTACAAATCCTCATCCTCATCTTCATCCTCTTCAAATTCAACCTCATCATCATCACAATGCAAGCCGGAATTTGAAAAGCTTAAAGATCCTTGTCCCAAACCTAAACCTGAAGTTCAGGATAAAACGGTCAAAGAAAATATATTATTATGAATTCTGAGTGCTTATGCGGTATTTAATTACAATTTTGTTTATTTTCTTCTTATTTTTCAAACTACAGAGTGCCGGCCTAAAAGGTTGTATTAAAAATGCTGAATTACTACAAGCAAACGACTGCAATATTAGTAAAAGAAAGAAGGTAACTTGTGATAAAAAGCCATGTGAAGATGATGGCGCAGACGGCAGTAAAAAGGGTGCTGGCGGCTCGCGTGGCTCGATAATGGGCGATGATGAAGCAAAAAAGAAGACAAGAATGCTGATGGCGTTGCTGGCTGCTTTGGGTCTGGGCGGCTTGGTATGTAAAAGTTATATAAGCGATTTATGTGCGCACATTTGATCATGGTTTACAAATTGTTTATATATTTTTTTTTTATAGCTTCTTTGGTTACAAACGCGTCGAAAACAGAAGGATGGTGAAAGTATAGATTGTGGCCCAACTAGCGGGCTACCAGCCACAGGTAAATCTCAGTTATTTTGAACTAAAATTTTCAGTTATTTAATTTATTTTCTATTAAGTGCCAGCAACTTCTGCAGAACTGCCGAAACATGTACCATATCTGTTGATCGGTGGTGGTACAGCATCATTTTCAGCATTCCGTGCCATCAAATCGAATGATCCGAGGGCTAAGGTGTGTATTTTATTATGGTAAAATGTGGAGTGTATTTGTATTTACCCGAAACTTTTCTGAGTTTTTAGGTACTTATGATCACAAATGAATTCCGAAAACCTTACATGCGCCCACCACTTTCCAAGGAGCTCTGGTATTCAGCAGAAAAGGGTGAAGTTACAAAAGACTATCGTTTTAAACAATGGACCGGTGCAGAAAGAAGGTAGTTTATAGAGGAAAACCAGTCGCGTTTATGCATTCACGTGTGTTTTTTTTTAATGCTATTTAGTCTCTTCTTCGAACCCGAGGAGTTCTTTGTCGAGCCCAGTAAGCTAATGGAAACTGTAAACGGTGGTATTGCGGTTGCACACGGTTTCGCTGTCAAAAAGATTGACCCCGCTAAGCATGTAGCAACACTGACTGATGGTTATGAAATAACCTATGACGAATGTTTGATAGCAACGGGTATGATAAAAAAAGCGCACACATACAAATAAAACAAAATTTTTAGATTAACATTTACTCCACACCTCTATAGGTTGCTCACCAAAAACTATCGATGTTTTTAATCAAGCTCCACCTGGTGTTAGGGAAAAGGTTATGATGTATCGTAGTCCAGATGATTTTGAACGTTTAAAACGTTATGCTGACGAAAAGAAATCGATTACAATTGTGGGGAATGGCTTTACTGGCAGCGAGTTGGCCTGCTCACTGGCAAATTATGCCAAAGACAAGAAAGTGAAAATATATCAAATATTTCCAGAATCTGGGAATATGTCAAAAGTACTACCATCCTACTTAAGTAAGTGGACAACTGCCAAGGTGGAAACAATGGGGGTGTGCGTTATGCCAGAGACTTATGTGAAAGAGGCGCAACGTGATGATTCGGTGCTTAAGCTGGCGCTTAGCAATGGAAAGAGTTTATTAACTGATGTGGTGTGTAGAAATTAAATGAAAATACGTGGAAGCTATTTTGTGCCACAAATTTGATATGTTTTATTTTTTACAGGTTGTTGTGTGCGTGGGATGTGAGCCGAATACTAACATAGCTTTAACCTCGGGCTTGGAGGTCGATAGGAATTTGGGTGGTTTTGTAGTTAATGCCGAATTAGAAGCCAGACGAAATTTATTTGTGGTAAGTTTTTTAGATATACTTAAAATTTAGTGTGTATTTTTTTAATTTAATATAATTTCCTAATTCTAAATTTTGGTAAAGTTCTTTATTTTTTTTTTAATAGTAGATAAGATAATTTATTTTAATTTTATTAATTTTTTTTAATATAATATTAATTATACTCTTCAATTATTCTTTCTTTTTTATTTTTTTAATTGTTTTTTTTTTTTAATTTTCTTAAACTTTAATTTTTAGTTAAGTTATTTTTTTTCATTTAAATGTTTTTAATGAAAATATTTTCGTTTAATGTTAATATTTCTTTTTCTTATTTTTTAATTAGGCTATTTGTTTGTTTTCGTTTATTTTTTTTTTCAATAAATTTTTAAGTTAATAATAATATTTTGTTAATTTCAATTTGCTTAAATTATATTTTTTTATTCTAATTTCTTTGTTTAAACTTTTTTTCATTTAACATTTTTAAAATTAAATTTTATATTTTTCCCCTTTTTATTATATATTAAAATTCTTTTTTGCATTTTAATTTTTTTAAATACTAAACTATTTTTTTTAATTTATGTTGGTTTTTCCATTTTATTTATTTTTGATCTAATTGTTTGATTTTTGCTTAAGTTTAATTTTTAATTAGTTTTAGTTTTAAGTTTTATTTCTACTTTATAATTTATTAATTTTAATTTGCTTAAATTATATATTTTTTAATCTAATATTTTAATTTGAACTTTTTTCATTTATTATTTTTAAATTTTACTTTCAATAAATTTTATTTTATTTCCTTTTTATATATCAATTTTTTTTAGTTTTTTATTTATATATTTAAATTACATAAGCTTTAAATTTAATTTGTGATTTTTAATTTTTTTTTAATTTTTAGTTTTTTTTTTTAATTTTTGATTTCGTATAATTTTAATTTTTGTTTTATTTTGGTTTCAATTTTAATTTTTGCTTAATTGGATTTTTTTAATTTTAATTTTGTTTATTTAGTCATGCTAGTTTCTATCTTTTTTAATTTCTATTTTTGTTTGTTTTTTTTTATTTATTTCCTTAGCTTTTAATTTATTAATATATTTTTTCATTTTAATTTCGCTTAAATTTTATTTAATTTTTTTAATTACTTTATTCTATTTTTAGTTAATTTTTTAGTTTTAATAAAACTAATTTTAGTTTATTATTTATTTTTAACTTTAATATTCTATTTTATTCTAATCCTTTTTTAAATATCTTTTATTTGTAATTCTCATTTTTCTATGCTAATTTGTTTAATTTTTACTTTCTTATATCAATTGTTTCTAAATTTTCATTGTTGTTGTAATCAATTTATGTGTTTAACTTTAATTATTGCTAATATTTTTTTTTAGTTTTAATTTCATTAAATTTAAAATTTTTTTTATAGTTTTTAATTTTAATTTATTTAAGTTGAAATTTTGCCTGATTTTTTTAATATAAATGCATAATTTTGTTTTCAATTTAAATTCAATCTCTTTTAATACTCACCTCTTCAATTAAATATATTTAGATATTTTTTTTTTTTTTAATTTGAGCTTCTTAGTTATTTAATTTTAGTTTTTTATTTTATTTTAATTTTAGTCTTTATTTTATTTTTATTTTAATTTCTTATATTATTTTAATTTTAAAACTTTTTTTTTATGTAATTTCTTTATTATAATTTTTCTAAACGTATAACTATTTTATCCATGTAAAGGCCGGTGATGCATCCTGCTTCTACGATCCATTGCTGGGTAGACGCCGTGTAGAGCACCATGATCACTCCGTGGTGTCGGGTAGATTAGCGGGTGAAAATATGGTCGGCAAAAGTGAGTGATGACATTTTACATTTTAAAAAAATTTGTATTTGATATTTTGTCATTTTCCTTTTACTTTTAGAAAAAGCCTATACACATCAAAGTATGTTTTGGTCAGACTTAGGTCCCGAGGTCGGTTATGAGGGTATCGGCCTTGTTGACGCTTCCTTGCCCACAGTTGCTGTTTTCGCACTGCCAACACCAAATCCCGAACGGCGTGCTGATAATCTATCGGAAGCAGCCGTTATTGAGGGTGGTGGCAGCGGCGGTGGCACTGTAACTGTGAATCCGGAAACACCGGACGTTAAGTGTGATCCAAGCAATGCTGATGAATATGGACGCGGTGTTATATTCTATATGAAAGATGATAAGATTGTCGGCATTCTACTGTGGAATCTATTCAATCGCATTGGTTTGGCGCGCACAATTATCAATCAAAATAAGAAATATGACGATTTAAATGAAGTGGCAAAACTTTTCGAAATTCACGCGTAGTTCATCACGCAACGGTCCTATGTATACAATACATATATATTTATATATATATAAATATATGCAGAGAAGAGTTTTGAAGAAATTTGTGTAATGTTTAAAAATATTGTAATACATGCAAAATAATGATAATAATTTGGTTAGGTAAAAATGTTTGTTACCGTTAGTTAATTACACACGTGTAAATTTGCAATGTACAATTGGAACGAAACAAGAAGAAAATCGTAGAAAAAATATGCATTTCAATTAAAAACATAAACAAGCCAAACACACACGCACATACGAAAGCCAGAAACGAAAAATGTTTTTTTTTTTTCTTTCTTTAATTTTAATGAGGGTGTGTTGTTTGTGTTGAGTTTTATGCATTTTAGCACGTGAAGAGGCTGGCGAATATTTCTTTGACGAGTGTCCTAAAACCAAAAAGAATGTTGTGTAAATTTTTCTCGTCTTGCTACTTATGCACAGCACAAGGTGGCACGTTATGCTTAGCATTTCTGTAGTTTTAAAGAAAAAAAAGAAAGAAATTAAAATAATTTGTAATTCGTTGAATACTTTTAACTTAGTAAATTTCCAGTAGAAACCAAAAAAAAAATAGTTTATTTCTGCCCGAAAGAAGTACAACTCTTATTTTTATGAATTAAGATATTGAAGGACATTTATGAATAAAATAAAATTTATTGAAAAAAAAAATGTTATTGAGTTTTGTTTAAAACATATTTTAGCTTACAATATTCTATGTCTGCCTAGAATTAGCATATAAATTCACTCTCCCTCGGGATAGAGAGCTGCGTGGGCTCGATAAGGACACTTGTAGTCAAGTAAAAATACGAACTCAAAATTTTATATTTTTTGTGAGGACCCCAGTATTCGGCGAGTAAAGCCATAATACGAAGCTAGTCATAAATGGCGCTCTAACTCTCTTAAGAGAGTGAATTGGGAGAAAATCCAAAAAAAAAAATTTTTAGTTGAAATAACGTCGGAGCAAAACAAAGTAAAAAACATGATGAAAGATCCTCGGATTTACTATATAAGAAGAGAAGGTCTCATCCAGTATGTTGTTGCGGTAGCGGCTCATCAATTTCACTTCGGAACAGGCAGGTTAGTGTAAATCGTTGAGGGAGCACCAGGAAACGAGTTTTGTCGGTTTTCTACGGTTCGGACTAGTGGGAGAGGGGGGTTATATGAGTTGGTTTTAGGTGGCATGCAAAATGGTGGTTAGTGTCGTGCGGGGACTCGTTGCATGCAAGACGAACCCGGATCTTATCCGCCCAAGAGCTTTCACTCCTTCGACGAACTCATTTAGGTCCGCAGGTTACACTAGCTAGAAGATTTCGCTGCCGTTGTTTCGCTACGGAAGAAGAAGCTAAAGACCACATTGCTTCACATCAAACTCATTTCTCGGCACAACGAAGGTATATAAAACCCATCCAATTGCTACTCAGTAGCATTAGTCTCCATAGTCCATTCTTTCAACCTATTTCGAGCTGGCCTACGCTACGTTTGTAGACTGAGTGACGACTAGGATTGAATGGTGTTGCAGATCTTTGAGGGCGTAGAAGAAGAACTATTCGAAATATACGAAGTCGCATTAAATTTAATACCAAAGGGTGACGAAGCTCTGAACTGATTACGAAACGAAAACAAATGAGAGTCAATGAGACAAAACTTTGTCTTCGACACTTCGAGAATTCTCAGATCTTCTTCCATTGCTACAGAATCCAATGAGATATGCAGACTCCACAGCGTACACAAAAATTGTCGCCCTCGATATCGTCAAGCGTGCATCTAATCCACATAGACACCAAGAAAAGCCCAGCCAACTACAGACGTCGTCAGGTTTCTGAGCCAACGAAACGACAACTACGCTTGAAAACTATCAGCGAACGCTCGATCTGAAGACCGTGCGCAGACAATGTGACGAGCGTAGTCACGGATAAACTTCTGCTGGTAGTACAGACAAGAAACTACTTAAGAAAGAATAAGATGGGCTATCGCCACCATCAATAACGGTACAAGCAATAAAATACGCACAGTTGCAACTGGAAGCTTTGTAAGCTACGCAACCGACCTGTCGGTGACCTAACGCCGCCTAGGTCAACTTGGATTTACAATAAAGCGCTATCTTTGAACTAGTTGCCTATTATTAAACTGAAGTACAGGGAAATATTGTGCCTCAGGAGGATCCTCATATTTAAATAAGTGCAAAAGCGCGATTGGGCGGAAATCTATGGAGTAGTGTTCTACTGGCCAAACTCTAGAAGTCAATCAGCTCAATTCGATGAAAATTCCATAGATTACCGATGAATGTAACTTGTTCTTCGGTAAGACAACAAGAAAGAGTGTAAGGTGATTATTCCGTTGAGAAACCAATGGAATAACAATGGATTTTCAGCGTTTGTAGACTCGGCTGACTTCTATACGGTTAGGTTAAAGCAACTTAACTGCCACTTTTGCGAATCTGGAGAAGTCAAGGCCTGCCTTTTTCCTTTTGTAAATTCTCTATAAGAGAATTATTCATCACAAATGCTAACTTCAGATGGAAAAATCTCAATGAATGAAAGAAGAGAGCGCCGCTATTTGTCGCTTGGGCAAATATCTACAATATTGGGTCTCCTCACAGGGGCTTTCTTTTGTACAGACGCACACAGAGACTGATCGTATCTTCAAACAACTTCTGCAGGAGTTTTAGAGGCAGAACTGGAAGCGAATGCCTTAAGGTATTTCCTTTGCGAGCGCCAAGCACTTTGGAGGAGGAGCCTGAAGTTGTCCTAACTTGCACATTGTAGGTTCAAGTTTGTTTTAGGAGTCCCTTGGACTATGGAATATCAAAATCTCGTTCAATACTATCATAAAGTAGCAGCAGATGACAGCGAGGGCACGATTTTTTTTTTCATTTATACTCAGCTCTACTGTGTATAGGGAGCATATTAGGTTTGTTCGGATAACGGTGGTATGTAATCGAACAAAATCTTCCAGACTGCTATGGGTATAACTAACACCAGGGAATACCGAGTCGAATTGATTTAGTCAAGTCAGTCTTTCCGTACCTGTACAAGATTACTCAAGTAAGGAGTGAAATATTTTGATGAAACTTCGTTCAGATAATTAAGTAACTAAATGTGTAATTAAAATGAAATTAGTTAGGCATGAACCCTATAAATAGAAAAATATGAGAGAAAGAAAACAAATTTGTGTAAAAAAAAATCTATCGCAGAAATTGAGAAGTCTGAACGGAAGCCGATAAAACTTGATTCCTACAATCCCCGACGTCTATAACTATGCTCTTGCCCCAAACAACGGACTTTAATACTTTCCGACCCCTCACTTGGCCCAAGCTGAAATATGATATTAAGACATTCATCAGCAGAACTGAACCAAACTTGGTAGGCATGCGACACCTAATAAGGTTCACAGTGCCAGAACAAACGCCTGAAATAGCAACAGAATAGAAGTCCTCACATATAACAAACCTTTGATTCTTTTTTATTGATCTATGAACTTAGCAACGAATATTTGTGGAACTTATTGAGAAAACTTGTTGTTAATTGACTGATATGATAGTTAAATTGAGTTTCAGACATCTCTTCTGAGTTTCCTAACAAGTCTGCCTTCCATATAACTGCACTTTAGTTCATCTTTGATAGTCCAGTTAATAGCCGCTTGGTATTTAAATCGCTTACTAACATTCGGGCGAGCAGGATTCGAGACCTGGTCTGTCTAAATATACAAAATTATAGAAAATTATGTTTTTTAATTGCCGTCAGCTCTCGGTAGGGGTTGCCAGTCTGCTCGATTGTATTGCTGAGATGAAAACCAAAGTTCCGCATTAATCGACATCAGCCGTTCGGAGGCCGCTTATTATAAATTGTAGGTTCCCCTGAATGGGAATTGGAAAGAGCTCGGCCGAATATCGCTTCAGCGGCTACAGAACGTCAATTATTTATCCAATTTTCGGCCGCATTTCAACTTGGTATTCCTCACATGTCTTGCTTGATTTCATGAAAAAAACTGTTTTTATTTAGTATTTAATTTTTTTTTTATTTATTTTATTTGTATATTTCATATTGTTGTTGGGTGTATTTTTGTATATAAAACTAAGACTTACATACATAATTTTAATCAATAAAATATTTTAAAATATTTTTAAAAAACTTTTTTTTTTTTTAATTTTACAATTATAATTACATACAATAAAAAATGCAATTAACACTAAATACATATGTATGTATGCAAGTAAGTATGTATATTAATTAATATGTGCTAACACAAAGCAAAAAAATGGAAGCCAATGGAGGAAGAAATATTTTCGTAACTTTTTTTTTTTAATTTAAATAAAAAATTATTTACTTAAAAGTTGTACTTATACATATACATACATATATGTATGCTTGTATATAATTTATTGTAAACGCAGCAAAAAAAAATACAATTTACAGGATTACATTGATATTGTTGTTCTTCTTCTTTCTATGCGTTCTTTTTCTACTAAATTAAAGCCAATTTTTTTAAGCAACATAATATGAACACGTGTTTTTTTGTTTTGTTTTATTTTTTTTTTTTGTTGTTGGAGAGAAGTTAAATTGCATTTATTGCATTTATTTTTCTTTCTGTTTTTTTTTATTCACCTTTTTCATATACTTTTATCACATTTGTTTTTTTTTTTTGCAGAAAAAATTTTTTTTGTTTCATATTTCTTTTATATTTGAAATTTTTTAACAAAAAAATAATAACTTTTTCTTCTTTAATACATTTTGCGTTGTGGCTGTAGTTGTTGAGTCGTTAAAAATTTATTTTTTAATACAAATAAAAACTGTGTGTGGGTGTGTGTGTGTGTGTTAAAAATGACAGTTGATGCTTAGTATATTTTATAACTATGTACGCGTGTGTGAGTGTAGAGTATTTTATGCGCGGGTTAATAATTTAAAAAATAATTTAAATAAAATTTAAAAAATATAAAATAAAAAGATGTAAATTAAAAAAAAAAAACAAATTAAAATTAATATAAAAAGTATTAAAAATTATTTTAAAATATTTGCAATAAGCCTAAATTATTTTTTATATTTAATATTATTTTCTTTTTTCAATTTAATTTCATTTAATGTTTAATCCCGCAGCTTAATATTTTTTTTATTAAAATTAAATATTTTTCACTATAATACAAATGTAATTTTATAAAAAAAAAATAAAAATAATATGTTTAATTATTTATTAATTTATATATATATTTTTTGATAATATTTATTATCTACTTTCATTTTCTTAATTACAAACAACAATCAAACAAATATATCATTTCATCACCTAACATATACATATGTACGTATGTTTGTATATAGAAATATGTGTTTGTGTTTATGTATTAATTTTTTGTTATAAAACTGTACGTGTGTGTCTGTATGTCGCCGTTGCTGAAACCTGTTCCGAGGCGCTATTTGTAAAGCTTAAAAAGGGTCATTTATATGTATAATATAAATGTATATATGCATACAGCAAAATACAAAACAAAAACAATAGATTAAAAATTTAATCGTTTTCTTTTTCATACTGGCAAACTACTATTTGCTAATATTTACATACATAGATATGCATGTATTTCTTTTTACCTTTTAATTAAATTTAAGTTTAGCAATTGCTTGGAAGAAATTTTATGATTTTTAAATTAAAAAAATTACAAACATACATTTAATGTCTGCTAATTTTTACTAGCAAATTTTTATTAATTAAAAAATATATTTAAAATTGCTATTGGCACATTACATCCGTTAAATGGATGTTTGAGGAAAAATAAAGAAATAAAAAATAAAAAAAAAAACAAAAATTAAGCAAAGGAAAACACACACCGAACGTGTACAAGGAAATTGCAAAAATTCATAATTAATATCTTTGTGAGAAATTGAGTAATATTGCTGGGTTCGTAGTGTAGTGAGGATTTTTTTAATTATTATCAGAGCTTTATTATTTAAATAAAATAAAAAATTAAACAATAGAATAATATTCAAATAAAATACAATAAAATAAAATCAAACTAAATACAATAAAATAAATAAAATAAAACAGAATTAATGAAAATGCAATGAAATAAAAAAAAAAAATAATATTAAATAAAATATTAAACAATAAATTAAATTAAATAATATTTAAGTAAAATAAAATCAAACTAAATACAATAAAATATAGATAATAAAATTAAATAAAATAGAATTAACTGAAATAAAATAAAATAAAATATTAAAAAATAAATTAAATCAAATAATATTTAAATAAAATAAATTAAAATAAAATTGAATTAAATGAAATAAAATGAAATAAATTTAACAAAATAAAATAAAATCAAATATTAAATAAAATAAGATTTAATATAATTACTACTAAATTTAATTATATTAAATTTAATAAAATAAAGTAAAAGTGAATAAAATAAAGTGTAAATAAATAAAAATAAAATTAAATTGGTTTAGAGCCGTATTAAATGAAATGCAATAAAATAAAATAAAATTTAATTTAAGTATCTTTAAATAAAATTAAATAATTTAAACAAAACAAAATAGAATCAATATAAATATAATTAACTGATATTAAATACAATCAAAATACAAAAACCGTGAAAACTTTGTTATATATATATTATAGACATGTTAAGCGTCTATTAGATCAGCAGCTTTTCATTTCGTAAACAAAAATCTACTGAGGAAGCTTGAAGAGTGTAAATGCTCAAAATCCTACGTCACTACAAAAGCAGCAATATTCAAGAAACACATTTTCATCAAATTATATATATTATATATGTATAATTACATGTGTATAAGGTGTGCTCAAGTTGTAATATGCAAAATAAAAAAACATTTATGACGCTTTTTATGTGAATTTATACGTGTGCATTTGTGTGTGTGTGTGTATGTGTGGATGTTCAAATATATATTTATATTTTTTGTTATTTTGAAATTCTAATGAGTATATTACGCTTTAAAATATAATTATAATAAATATATATATGTATTACATATATATATATATATATATAAATAAAATTGTATATAATATTAACATTAAATTTATGCTTATTTGAAGGTTATATATATTTCTGTTAAACCCTTTTATTTGCTTACTTGTATAACGCATGTCATTAAATTTATCTTTTTATTTCATTTTAATAAATCTATATGTATAGATAGGTATATAATCTATATATTTTAATATTGTAAATATATGTATATGTATTTATATGCATACATAAATATTTTTTTGTTATTAACATTTATTTGCATTATTATTTCTTTAATATTGTGTTTTTTATGTTACAAGCTTAACAAATGTCAATCCTTTTTGTTTTTTGACTGTTTGTATGCATATATTGTATGTATGTATGTATGTGTATTTAGAGGTCTAATAATGCACTTAAATAAATCCTTATATTCTGCGCATACATATATACTTAAATGTAAGCCAATTTTTATTTTGCTTTTAATTTTTGTTTGTTTTTGTTGTTGTTATTATTTGCCCATGTGCTTGCACACGTGCAGATGTACCCATGTAGTACTTGTATAAATCACTAATTTCACTTTAATTAGATTGAATTTAAATTAAATTTAAAAAATATTTTGGAAATTTTTACTTTCACTTTTTAATTCTTTCTCATTTTTGTTATTGCAACTGCAATCTGTGCAATTCTTCAAATGGAAATAATTCAATCAAAAGCCAATAGAGAGTTAACATTTTTTATTGTAACATCTCAATGACGCGACACTACTTTGACAATACTTGAGCTTGAGCTTGAGCTACATACAAATATTTGGCACTGTGGCAGGCCTTAGAAGTCCACTAGCTGAGCTTAAGCGTTTTCGACGACTTTTTGTAGTTTTTGGTTGACACTGCATTTGCCAATTCGCTGCGAAATGCCTGTCTTCCTCTTCCTTAAGCTCACTCTGTAGGCGTACGCTGACTTATGCTCACTCTTTTCGCACTTTCCTTCTCAATTGATTGTCCTGTTTTCGTGTGTGTTGCGTTAAATTTGCATTCACTTCTCGCTCACCACCTTCTCATCGTTTTGTTGTGTGTTGTATGTACACTTGTGTATGTATGTATTGTCATAATCGTTAGAGCTTCATTCGCTCGCGCACACACATAAGCGCTTACTTGCGCAAATCGGTTGGCATAGAAGCGGCGCTCGTGGACTCATCATCATGTCCTTCATTGTCCATATGATCCATGGGGGTGTGTTGCTGTTGTTGTTGTTCAGCGTTAGATAATGCTTCTTGCTGTTGGTGTTGTTGTTGTTGTTGGTGCTGCTGCTGTTGCTGAAGATGATGTTGTTCAAGCGCCGATTGTTTGGACGCGCCAGCTTCATTATGCTCATTATTGTAACGTATCAATTTGATTGTCGTAAGGCCGTCAGCGTTGCGGATGAGTCTGTTGGAGAGCGTAGGAATTTATTAAGCAACTTGTTTCACGCGCATATGTAAATTAATCTATACTCACGGATAGCAATCCTCTGCCGAGGGACTCGAATAAGGTCGCTTCTCGCTGCTATTTCCCGCCACACTCAAGTCGGTCGGTTTCATTTCCTCACCATGATCCGGTGATCTCGAACCGCTGCTGTGTTGCTCCACCTTCAGGGCGGAGAATTGGAATTTCTCGCTGGGCGTGTGTGGCATGGCGGGCGAATTGGGTGGTGCGCCCACCGGATTGTTGGACAGGTATTGGAAGGCACCGTTAATGGCGTGCATGAAGAGTGGCGACGTGGGTGGTGGGCCGTACGCAGCCGCAGCAGCAGCGGCGACAGCGGCGGCGGCAGCTGATTGTGAAATCGCAGGAAGACTCATGTGTGGATTACTCATGCTGTTGCTGTGATTGTGATGGCCGGCCACATTGGCGCCGTTGCCACTGCCATTAATGTTGGCTGCGCTGCCGCTGTTGCTGTTGCTGGCACCGTGTGCGGCTGGGTGTCGCTGCGGCGACTGCGGATGTGGCAATGTCCAATTTGTACCGTTCATATTTGTACTTTGCGACTGATTGTTGTTGTTGTTACTGTTGGCATTGTTGTTGTTGTTACTAATATTATTGTTACTGCTGGACATACCAGCGTTGTTGTTAGCGCCGCCGGCTGTCTGCGCTGTTGGGCCACCGTTGCCTGCAACGGATTGACGCAACAAGGATATATTCTTGATGTTCTTCAACTCAGTTGGATTGCGCAGAAACTGATAGCAATGACGTTCGCCCTGCACCTTACGCAATATATTGACGCGATAGTAGTAGCGCAACGCACGCGACATTTTGTCATAATTCATAGAGAGATGATTCTTTTGTATGCCCCAGAGCTTGGCCAATCCAGCGGGATCGACGATCTTAAAGACGCCAGTGTCACGACACTTCCACGCAATCAAATCACTGTACTTCTGGTTGCGATCGTTCAGCAACTGCTGCAGGAAGTCCCACAGCAAGCGACCATCTGTGGGAAGAGAGACAAGAAGGAGCGGAGGTTAGTATGAGTTTAAGAAAAATGAGCCATGTACACAATTTAATATATATCGTACTTACTTGTGTTGGGCTCTGCGGTTTCTGGAAAGAATTCCCGCTTCACGGGCTGCATATAGCTCGGCGTTGTTGGCGCCGAAACGGAGCCACCGCTGGAACTGCCAGCAACGGGCTGATACTTTTGTCCCAACGCCTGCGCGGCCTGATTTTGCGACCACGAATTCACAAAACTGTTGGTTATCTGTTGCGACAAGCTCTGCGGCATATCCTTCAAAATCGGGGTAGTTGGCGGACTGGCGCTGTAATGCGCAGCCACCACTGCGGCCGCTGCACCGCTTTTACTCAATGTATTAGCAGCGGCCAACTCTGAGTAGCTACCCTCCTCATCCGAGTCCGATTGATTGCTGCTGGCACCCGTGCTGGCGGCGGCATGATGTGCCGCATATCCATTAGCGCTGCTCATGGTAACGGAAATGGTTGGTGGAACTAAGCCACCACTGCTGTTGCTACTACCACTCGCGCCCAAACCGCTATTACTGCTACCACTGCTGGTGCTACTACTGCTACTGCTGCTTGTGCTGGCGCCACTTACTGACGCAGCGGCGGCGGCGGCTGCGGCTGCTGCAGCGACGGCTAAATTTTGCTCCTGGCTTTGTGGCGGGCTGCTGGCTTGTGAGTCCACCGAAGGCGGCGGACTGAGTGTGACCGAGTTGGGCGCCATAAAGTGATGCATGTGCGTATTGTGAAAGGGACTCTCTGGTGGTGCACCAATCGGAGGCCATGTCGGCGTTTGCGGATGGCTGTGTGGCGATAATGGATAACGGCTTGTGGGTGTGACCGGACTGTTGGGCAAATGCCATTGCATCATATGCGATTCGATGATGAGCATTTGGAGGACATTGTGTAGTACATCGCCTGCACCCGGACAACGGTGACCGAAGTCGGCACGTGTTAACAGGCAGAGCGCTTTGCCATTCATTTGAAAGAGATCATGGTCGACTTTGGGCAAATCAAATTCACGTTCGCAGAAACGCAGAAAGACGGTGACATCTTCGCGGCCCCACAAACGCGGGTCGGATGGCAACGATGGCGGCAATTGTGTTTTCAATTCAGCCAGCTGGCTAGAGGGTGCCGGTGGGCAACGCCACAACATATCGCTCCACAGACCGAGCTGCGGATTCAACGACAGCTGTACGGGAAGCATTTTCATTTTGAACCAGACGCGTGCACGATTTTAATTGTTTGTGTTGACCAACGCCACACGGAAATACGACTGCGGCTGGTGTTGCCGCTCCACTGGGTTGCTGGGTCACCCAATGAGCTGCTCGGCACCAAGTCAGTTACGCTTGCTGGCTTGGTTGTTGTAATTACGAGCACACGATGAACAAATAAACGAAACTATGAGCTGAAGATGTAGAGACCTGGAAGAGAAGAAGAGAGAGAAAAAGAGTGTTAAAAGAGTTGGAAACGACGCACAGAAATAAGATAAAGTTTACGAAATCGATATACAGACAATTAAGTTAGCGAACCGCGAGACGGCGCGTACAAAAACAGACGGAACTGGCGCGAGGTAAGGCGGATGCAATAAAGCGGTACAATTCGGGCATGTGGGTGTACATGAACGCACACTTCCGCTTGGGATTAGTTGATGTGTGTGTGTGTGTGTGTGTGTATATAAATCGAAATCGACACAAATGCAAATCGCTTTACGTCGGTTTCCACACACACACACACTCAGCCAACAACAATAACAACAAAAGCAACGCAGACAAATAAACAAATACATCCGCTGACGATGCGGACGTGAATCCGCCGTTTTGGTGAGCGCACCAAAAAAAAAAACAACAAAAAAAACCAAGAAAAAAAGAAGACGAAAATCAAAAACGGGTTGCCGAAATAACGCCGCGACGGAATGCACTGACGTAAAACTTGCTTCTGCGCGCCCAACCCACACAAAACACACACACACACACACAGCATCTTCAGCAGCAGATCACAACCGTGCGCCCGGCACGTCTGCTCCACCGACTCATGACTCTTCGCCCGTCTCTCTGCTCTGTTTTCGCTTCGTCCCTTGGCTTTGGCTGCGCTGGGTGCGGCGACGTGCGATCGAGCCGATTTGCGGTTAACTAAGCAGGCAGGCAAGCTAAAACGTAATATGCGCAAAAGCTCAAGCCAACAACAGCAACGCAATACCTTTTTCAGCGTGCGCGCCTCCAAAAGTAGCGATTTCTTGTTTATGAACAAATATTTCGATATTTAATCGCGCAATATGTTAATTTCCTTCCCAAAAATACACGCATACATACGTGTGCATACATAACTCATCCTACGGTGTGAACTGGGGAAATGGGAAGATGTGCGGTTGAAGTTGTAATGTGCCGGATGCGCGCGTATAGGTGGGCGAGTCGAGGCGGCGGTTCATTGCGCAGATTTCTTTACGTTACACTGTGGACTTGAGTTGATAAAACTCTAAAGAAATTCGGTTGGAATCAAAGTTTCACATTGCAAGGGGAAATGGTTTGAAGAAGGTTCTGAACACGTTGGACTTAAAGAAATCGGAGTGTCTGTTACTGGTGTCGTAGTTGGATGGCTCACAAGAGGTATAAGAACTATTAGATCTTTGAGAACTGAACCTACCTTTCAAAGTACAACTGGTCGGTGTGGGGAGATTGGACTGTTTACCTGCACCAGGGTTGGGTGGGATTCATATACAACAAGAACAAGAGCAAAATTATTTGCCAAAATGAGAGTATAAGTGGGAGTGGGGTCGTGGAATCATAATACAGATAAGGATTGGATTCAGAAATCTGTGTAGTGTAATCGAGATCTCCTTTCGGAGTTTTAGGCAGAGTCGAAGGCAGAACCGAAGGACATATGGACGTACCGACAGGCTTTGAACGCAATTCACCGACATTCCGTGAACACCATCATGAGCTCTTTTCCACTACAATGTCTTTCCAGATGCCAAGCACCACCAGACGGAAAGTTCTAGCTCAAGCTGCCTCGAGAGAACCGATTAATCGACATACATAACGTATGTGCTGCATGCAATGTGACACCGCACGACGCTAACCACCCATTTTCCATGAGTGAGACTACTTTCGTCTGCCCCTAAGTGGGGTTAGAGAACCGCTCGAACATGAGAGCCACTCCCCGACTACCCTCATCCCTCCTAAAAACGCCCGAAAAATGAAGAAACCTTGGAACTTGCCATGCGTAATATGGTTGGACTATGATATAAAACGAGGTGCCGAGATCTTTAACGTTAACTTCGGTCGGACTACTTGGGGTCTCACTCTTGTTATTTGGAAATGTTTAGTAGGCTCGGTCGATCTCTACACAAAAGCTTTTTGAAATTTGGCCGTCATTTTCGATACAAACCTCGAGTGGGATCGTGCAATTCACATCTGAAGAAGACGCATTTCTTGAATTCCACGTGTCGGTGCGAACGTTCACCACGTTTGGGGTTGCGACACGTAGAGCGTAAGAAGCAGAAGAGAAGTCATCTTCCGCGGTTTCCTTTGAGTCCGTAGGATCGCGCAACCTCACACAGAGAAGTGTTCGCCCCGCTCTGGCTGCGAAAAAGCCAAGCGCATGTGATAAGACGATAAGTGCCAGTCGGGGTTTGAAGTAAATACTGGTCTTAATTCACATCTTGTGACATAATACTTCTTTGAGGATTAGACGCGCAGATGGGATGGTCCGTGGTACTTCGCAGATGGGATGGTCCATGGTACTTGGTCGACTTCCTGCTCTGGACTTTGAGGTACTGGTTACCAAAGCCAAATAAATGTGGGATACCACCAGCGGAACGTCCATGAAGATATGCTCTACGTTCACAGCTATGATGAGCTACCAAAAAGTCTTGAGATCTTAAAGCGTATTCTTTGAACAGTTTTAGTAAAAGATTAGATCCAAGTCTTTGGTCCTCACTGGGAGGGTCCGAGATATTGTTCCTGCATTTTTCACTGCACTTGGCCCACTAACCCAACCCTTCCACATCTCTTCACATTCACAATAAGCACAAGCGAACTCAACCACTGTGTGGCACAGATTGTTGTACAAACATGCCAACATGGCATACATACATGAAAGACTCAACGTTCCGAGGAAAAAAATTGCTGATTCGAGCAAGATGACGGCAGCGACTGCAACACAACCAAACATGAAAAAAAAAACAGTAACAATAATAAAATCCGAAGCAACTGATGACGGCTATTAAGATCAGGCTACCTTGCGAAACTCAACTCTACACAGCAGAGAAACAGACGAACGACAAAAAAGACGACATCCCAACGTTCCAACGTCCGCTTTGTTGCAGTCTCCGGCTCACGGCTATGTCTGTATATACATATGTATGTTAGCAAATCCAGACGCCACAAACGGAAGTGTGCATACCAAACAAAATGACAGCAACATCGCAACTACAACAACAACACATGCGAGTCACATACAACCAACCCGAAATCGAAAGATGAAATAAACTTGTTTCACACACAATGCAGCCGCAAGCGGCCAGCAGAAAAGACCAAAATGTAAATATTTTATAGTCTTACGGATGTACTAATGTACATAGATATGTGCGAGTATATAGTGGTACAGACCGAACGGCATATTGGGTAAAAAGCGTTCGCAAGCTCGAGCTCGTACAGTGCGTTGGGGCAGAGGAAAACCGATCGTATCCGCTAGTGGGTAAACAGAGCACGGATAAGATATGAGTGTCGAAGCAGCAAACAAGCCAATGGACAAGTGGAGAGTGGACGGACGGGTAAGGGGTGACAATGGTGACAATGGAACTGGCAGTCAGCTGCGAGTGGGGAATTGGGTAAGTGAGCATACATGCATATATGGATATGCTCGGGAAACGAATGGAACGGAAAATGTTATAAAGAAGCATGCCTACATACATACATACATACGTACACACTAGTGTTGTTAAGGTGTCGGAGACGAAATCGAAGATTTTAATTTACCTTCATCAGAGGCGAAATCTGAAGGAAGCTACAAATTAAGAATTGTAGAAGAGCCGTTGCAGTCCCTGGATGGAATACAAGGCTGAAATGTACTATCCGAGGATTTAGCTTAGGCCCACTTCCAGGTCTTGCTTCGATGAAGAGAATTTAAGAGTTTCACCAAAACGGGTTAGGTCGAAAAGGTAACAGAGCTTGTGGGAATCGAAAATTCGGGTCAAATCAGGTGCTTAGAACCGGCTGATGTGAGAGCTGCCGACCAACTAACGTTATCGATGCCGCGATCGAAAGTGAAGCCTAAAATTTCTCACATCACAGCGATAGCCGGATCCAAGAAGATAGCGAACAAGTCGAACCTTTCGAGTTCAGAACTTTAAAATCGATAAGTTATTCGGGACCAAGGTTCGGCGCTTCACCTGAGGTAAGCCGCATGCATCGAAAGCGAAACTGCTTTTTCTCAGTTCACTTTATTGGATATTGGGCAAGAGCCTAAGATGGTGACCGCAGTAGGTAACACAATTAGCGCTAGAATAGAAATTTAGTTTCGGCGGATTCCGAATTCGTGTCACACCCTCTGATCAGCACCAGACTGAAGGCGGATGCGGAGTTGGGCGGAGACAAAACCGTAACCAGTGTAGTGCAATCGAGAACTCCTTTGGATTACCGAACCGAATTCAATTACTTTATCCTAAACGGGAGTAGAAACCAGTGTTGGTGTAAAATGGTTAGTTTAGCCACACCTAACTAGAACACAAGTAATGTCGTGGTAAGACGAATACAGCAAGAGCAATAGCCGGTATGTAAACCAGTTAGCGGCATGGAGAGTTAAGGGATTGTGATACCTTATGGATATTTTTAGCCAGCACCAAACTGAAGATAGATAGTGCAAACGCTCTCTCCTTCCGGATCAATTGACGCAGTGACACCGGTGCTAAAACTGGCAAGAGCAGGTAGCTTACGTAATTAGCCCAGAATAGGAGTCTGAGTGGGGGTTCGACATAGTTGGGACTAGAACTGACTATAAGACAGATAAAGAGTCAGATTCGAGTATAGGAGAAAGAAAGTTTACAGCAAGATTATTGAGTTGGGTGATCTTATGGACCCTTCGGACTATCACCGGACTGAAAACAGATACGTTGTCGGGTTCCGACAAAACTGAAACCAGGAATGTGCAACCGATTTCTCCTCCGGAGTTATAAGCAGAGTGTTAAGCAGAACCGAAAAGTAGGCGTGTGTCGGTAAAAATATTTTTCAGTATCGAATTCGAAGAAACCACATCAGGACAGCTTTGACCCGAACAAGATCACCCTGTTTGCCAGCAACATCGCTTTCTTCATGCCCTCCACACAAACATATGTACAATACATACTTACATAAATCTTTATGGTATATATGTGTGCATATATGTAAGGCAAATAATAATTTACACATACACGCGCACACACACA